AACCCACACACACATACAATCTCTGATTTTTCACCATTCGGCATTCGTCATTGTGTTTACAAAATTTGCCGCTTGTGGTGAAAATTTTCCCGAAAAAAAGCTTTTGTTCTTCGTGAGCTTTTTGTTAAATGTTCTCTTAAGCTTTCTCTTGCAAGGGGTATGTTTCCAACACACCCAAACAAACAACTGTTGCTTCAGTTCTTTTTTTTCGTTGTTATGGGAGTTTTTAACAACTTTTTGTCATTCGACATGCCATTACGACCAAATTCCGCTTGGCTATTTCATCCAAGCATTTTACCAAATTAAATGAAGTCCAGGGATGGGCAGAATCGATCTATATCCTCTTTTTCAAAATTTTTAAAAAAAATTAGGACTTATATCGAGCATCGTGTGATATATATACTCGTAATACTTAGGACTGGTGAGAAAATGATCTGTATTAGTCCATTCCGTCTAGAAGTTAGAATTGCTCTATTCCAGAACTGCAAGAATATAAAACGTTTTACTACGACAACTTATTCTTCCTTTATGATATCGAAATAATTGCAAAACTTGTCGATTCTTCCAGGTTCTGAAACAGAACAAATAACTATCTTTTAATATTTTTGCCTGTATTGAGCAAATGTAAAAATGGAAAACATTGGCCAACTCTTTCCGAATACCGAATATTGGGAAGTGCCACTATATGGGGGACATAGGAAAACGTCGACTTCCCTTAAAAAATGCCCTATATAGTAAGACACGAAAATATATTACAAATTGTGATGAATACCTACAAAATACAGAAAATGAGGTGTTACAGTTATATGAGGGCTATAACTAAACATGGAGTACAAACGGCTAACTTTCTATCTTGACTTTAGTTGACGGATGAACATTGTTAACTCGATTGCTTATGGAGACCCCCTTGAATATTTCGACAAAGTTAATATACCTTCCATCCTATGAAGGATGGTATAAAAACATTGGAGTTTGACGTAGTCAGAACATCACCGATATTACTGCAGCTTAAATATCAAGAAATGCAAAAAAGAAAAGAATTCATTTTCAGCGGAGAATGAAAGACAGAATATTACGACGTGCCAGTTGGCAAATGTTTATATACTTTTGGTGGTGGTTTAACTGTTTATATTAACACTTAATATAATAATGATATAAAAATTTGAAATATTGGTTGATAGAAATATTTAAATTCACCAAATTTTAAGAAAAATAGCTACCTTTAATTTAATATTTTAAAATATTGAGTTTTCGGCTGTTCAGCTATATTTGGTGATTACTTTTTTAACATTTTAATGTGGCCATAACTCCTTGAATATTGAGTTTTCGCCGTTTTTAGCTATGTTTTGTGAACACTTTTTAAGTATGCGAAAATAAATATTTTTAAAGGACCATAACTCCTTATATATTGAGTTTTTGGCGTATATCATTTGATACGGCCTCATGATACGGTGTCTCATCAAAATAACTGTTTAAGACCCTAAGTATATTTCTATCAAATCCGTTTCAGGACATTTGGAATCGAACTAGCGATGTCCGTCCGTTTGTCCTTATGTCTTATCTGGCTGGTGCGCTATTTCTGGTACCTCCCATAAATTTAAAATATATATATATATATATATATTTTAATGCACAGACAGAGAAAGGATTATCTGATTTTGCTTCAACTTTGCAAATCCTAATATTTGCATCAGTGCTAAGTCAGGTGTAAAAATGGACAATATCGGCCCACTCTATCAAGTACCTCCCCCACAAAGGGTCAACAAAGTTTTGAATGTCCATAAAGCTCACTTTTACTGTTTAAAGATGAATTCATGGTAGAACTAAGAAGGTAGTCATATAATTACATTTTTTCAGATTTTTTCCTTTGACGACATCTCATTGTCAAAATCTATCTCATTGTCAAAATACATAAAGTCGGAGATGGGAACTGTTTTCTATGCATTGAAATTGGAAGGTACATTACAGAAAATGCAGAGATGGGAATGCCTATTTTAAATGAGGTTACCTTTATTTCATTGTACCATGGATGAATTAATAAATATTTTAAAATGTTCATAACTCATTAAATTTTAAGTTTTTGGGGATTTTTGCTATGTTCTGTGTCTCTATAAGTTTGGACATCATGCCCAGTCGTTGAAAATACGCCTTTGAAGTCGCAGTCTTTTCAAAAATATCTCTAAATAGTACACACTAAAATCATTGATTATCATTTATATGTATGTGGTTATAATTTAAACCATATAAATTCTGTATAAATTCTTTTCCGATCTTCATTTTTTAATATTATTCGTATTTTTCTTTTAAAATTTTGATGATTGACCCAGAGATTTTTGAATATTTTGAGCAAAAGTACACATTGATATTATTTGGTGTTTTTTCTTACAACACAATTAGAAAAACCTCGATATTTAAAGTGTAAAAATTGAGTTTTTGCATCAAACAATTGCACAAATTAAAATTTGCATATCAATACAATACTAACATAATATTAACCTGCCTTATCTCCTTAGACGAGTAAGCGCCAAACTTGCCTTCTAATGTTTTCATCACCTCGGTGTATGTCGATCTATCTACTCTTATTTGCTATACGAAAATAATATTTTTAGAATCGAAATCTCGAGTAATATAAATTAAATTTATACCTAGCGAAAATTGGTATAATCAAATTTTTAGAAAAATCTTTACTCGAAGTTCGTTGTATTTCCTTTTTTTGTTTATGTAAGAATTTATTTATGAAAAAAAATATTTGAAAAATATGTTTATTGCGACAGAAAGTTCAATTCAAATCGTCCTTTTTTCCCAATAGAGTAGTACAAGGAATAGGTCAGTAGGTACAATGAATCAAAGTATGGTACAATGAACTCAAGGTAGGGCACTGAAACCATTAGATATTATTATTTATTACATTCTGTCATTACAATCTATACAGAGAAGAAAAATTGCAACCAACTTCAGACTGCTCTTATTTCCAAGCCACTCGTCCGACAGCTGTTAAAGTTATTCCAGTGATAGCTCATTACATTGTTTACAAGCGTGCAAAAGCATTTTGGTGAGAATTTTCCAGAAAAAACGTTATTCGTGATGAAATTCAAGCGTGATAGTGTGATTTCATTATATTTGGCTGGAAAACCACAAGTGGCTATCGTTAGAGCACTCCAGCATTTAAATGTGAATAAATCTTTTGTAGCTCGTACCATCGCTCGTTATCCTGATACTGGTAGCGTAGCTCGAATGAAGTGGGCGGAAGACATCAGCAACAGCAACATCAGCAGAAAAGTAAAGAAACGACTTGATCCAATCCCGCTAAGCTGAACATGTCGCAATATTCCATTCGGCAAATATTGAATAATGAGCTCGCAGTAAAGCCACTGAAATTTTAAAAAGTTCAAGAACTTACACCGAAGCAGAAGTGGCCGAAAGTGGTGAATTGCCGAATTTGGTTTTCTCCGATGAGAAAACATTCGTTGTCCAACAGTTTGTAAACAAACAAAATTATCGTGTTTACTTGTCAAAGAGGTCGCCGGCCATGGTGATGGTGTGGGCCGCCATAACAGACGGTGGTCGCTCTCCGCTCGTATTAATCGACCGTGGCATCAGAATAAATGCCTAATATTATCGCGAAAATATTCTGTAGGGTGTATTAAAGCCTTGGACACGCAAACATTTTGGCCGCAGATCTTGGACATTCCAACAGGACTCAGCTCCATCGCACTCAGCACGCGCCATCCAAGAATGGTTACAATGGCCAGCAAAATCTCCGTATACCAATCCGTTGGACTATTGTGTGTGGAGTATTTTTGGAAGCAAGATTGGCACTAAAAAATACAAAAGTGGCGATCACCTCAAGCAAGCGCTTCGCCGGGAATGGGCCAAAATACCGCAGAGCAACATTCAGGTAGTGTGTGACATTTTCATTGGCCGTTTGAAGACCATAATTCTTGCCAAAGGTGACCAATTCGAACAAATCTAAATTTATTCTAAAATTTAATGTTTTTCCCGACAGTTTTTCTTTCATTCAAAAAAAAAAAAATAAAAAAAAAAATGTAAAAACTATTGCGTTTGACTTTTTGCAGTCTTTTCATCTCACTCTGTACTTGCAAAATTTTCCAAACTTAGCCTTCCCTGTCTTCATTGTACCATGGTTCAAAGCAAGAGTAGTTTGTTCAAAAATATTATGGAGATGTGCGGACCAATTGTCAACAATAAGTCTGAAGGTCCCACAGAGCAACATTCGGGCAGCGTGTGACGGTCTCATTGGCCGTTTGAAGATCATAATTCGTGCCAAAAGTAACCGATTCGAAGAAATCTAATTCGTTCAATAAAATGAAAAAAAAAAAAAATAAAAATTATGGCGTTTAACATTGTTGCAGTTTTTTTATCTCACACTGAACATACTGGTAGGCCTCCTTACTTGCAAAAATCTCCAACTTAGCCTTAGTCTGTTCAAAAATATTATGGAAAAGTACCGACCAACTGTCAACAACTAGTCTGAAGGTCATGATTCTATTTTGCAAAAATAATCCTTTTTCTGAGAGGGTTCACAGCAGTCGTTCGCGCTATAAAGTCAGCTTTACAATGGAGTGTCCAATTCCTTCATTCTCTGTTCCACCCAAGTCATTTCCTCTTTTATCAACTAAGTCAGAAATAACTGTGACCATAACTATCCTGCATCTTAAATGATTATTTGGTTGAATTACAAATGTAATGACAATCATACCATGCCCTCCATGCTACATATGTTGAAAGGCATAACAACTAATCATAATATCAAATAATAAAATATCATTGACATTTTCATTTTAACTTTATCGTTTATTGTTTGCTTTTTTTTCGAATAAAATATCTAAAATATAAACTCTTATATCAACAGGTGAGATTAACGAAGGCACTTCTTTTATTATAATTGGGGTGCATCGTATGGGGAAGGACGGCAAAATGATTATATGAAAATGAAATTAATTAAAGCGTGTCAAGCAAGGAAATAAAACAAAATGGACTTAATTTTGAAAATAAGTTTATTATAAAAAAGGTTGTATTTCATTTTTAATTTAGGGATGACTTAAATAAATATAAATTAAAAATAAACAAGTAAAAAAGGTTTAAAATTAGACTTAGAAACGAGAAAAACTAAAATTTAGGGACTACAACTAAAATGTTACACAATAGAGGGATGAAGGAATAAAAACACAGGTCAGTTTGGGGTAGTTGCAATAAATGGGGCAGGAGGAGGAGGCCAGTGACAGATTAAATAATAACTTAAATCTACTTCTAAACTTTTTACTTAAAAAAATTGGGTCATATAAATTCACAAATTACATATATGTAGGTGTGTTAGTGTTTAATTCCTAACAGCTAGCATAAGTTGTACCAAAACAAAAATACTGGACCTTTAGAATTAAACAATAGAGAGAAGGAAAAACTTTTATAAAGCAATATTCGAGGAATACACAGACATATACAAAATTAGAATACAAGATAAAAAACATAATATAGGATACGATATGATTAGTTACAATAAGGGTGGTGGGTCTCAAACCCACATAGATTGACGCATACAGACTCAATTACAAAATGACTTCTAAAATTGTACTTTGCTGAAGTCGCTGCAACGAAACTGATACTTAATAAATAGGAAATGGAAACATTACATTTAGGGAGGGATGTGCTATTTTCTTAAACTCTAAAACTTAACAATGAAATCTTAAATTCCTAAATTTTGTTTGTTCTGTTTTAAAAAAAAATATGGCTTGAATTTTGGTTATTTGTTGAGCATTATTCTGTAGTATGTTTTCCGAAATCATTTTAAAGTTTCTTCGATTTATTATTTGTTACTTTAGGCCATTCAAATGCTGTTGCTGCTCCCACAGATGCTGTAGAGCCAGCTGAGAGTGGAGTTCGATTTCCACCATTCAGTAAGGTTGGTGTCTTTAGCGGAGCCAAAGGTCTATCCAGAATTTTCTGGGATGCATAGCTGCCGACATGTGGTGAAAGACGTCCATTGTTGAATTGTGTTGCTTGTTGTTGCTGCTGCTGCTGTTGTTGGCCATTCGAGGAGGAGGTAATGATGGGGCTGCTTATGGTTGGCGCTTGAGAACGTCTTTTGTTAAAAAGGATGGAAAAAAGAATAAAAATGAAAAATAACGGTTAATAATAGTTTAGAAGAAAAAATTCATTCATGAAAAAACCAAAAATGCGGTGTATTTTGGTAGCGAAACTGATGTTTAATTGGCGTTTAGTTAGAATGAAAGATGAAAGACTACAAATGGGGTGGAGAATGATCTTGGAATTTGAGGATTGCAGATATCAATTTGAAAACATGACAATGCCTACAATGTTATATTGTTAATCGAATGGAGGATGTTATAGTTGTAAATAGGGATACCTTGTCGTGAACAAGAGGAAACTGTAAAGTTTTTTCATAAAAAAATTTGCGAATTTGCAAGGAATTAATTTTCGATTTAAACTTTTCAATGAATAGCGGACTTAAGCACATTTTTTTTATTTCAAGTCTAGTTCTTGCCAACAGATGAAGAGAAGGATTAACTCTCTGATGGACAATATCTAAAAAATATAATAACAAATCTAAAAACACTATTGCATTTTGGCTCATATAAAAATTATTTTGGCTCGTATAAAAATAAGAAGTGGACAAAAAATCTATGATATGAAGTATGAATATTAAAAGTGAATTTTGCGATTTTTACCACAGGAAAATAAATCAACATTAACAAATTGACTTTTCTATACCCCAAGTCGATAAATGTAAAGTCCGGCAGGATAGGATATTCCTTCAAAATGTTCATGGAATTCGATTTTTTTACCAAATATTCCTGTCGTTATTATCGTTTTTAGAGGTCAAATATTTTTATACCCTACACCATATAGTGGTAAGGGTATTATGTCTATGTGCATTTTTTGTAATATGGAGAAGGAAGCTAAATAGACCCATGTACCCATACTTTTGAGGGTCTTCATAGAATTACTTTCTGTGTCGATTTATCATGTCAGTCCGTCCGTCTGTCCATCTATTCTTGTGAACAAAATGCAGGTCGCATTTATTATCCGATTGAGATGAAATTTTACAAACAATATTTGTTTGGCTCAAGGACAAACCCTATTTAAATTGGTGATAATCTGATCAGATTTAGATATAGCTCCCATATATCTTCAACCGATTTGGGGTTTACTATGCACCAAATGGCCAATATCAGTCCAAATGACCTGAATTTTGGTACATCCGATCGAGATCAGTCTAGAAGTGCATCAAATGTGGAGAAAATCGGTTCAGATATAGATATAACTCCCATATATATGTTTCATCCGATTTGGTGTTTAAATTCCTTACATTCGTAATATGCATTCGACAACAATGATATTTGGCACCAGATATCTTATAAAGCTCGGAAATATCTTTGCCAAATTTTATCGAGAACGGCTAAGATTTGGATCTAGCATATATATCATTAATGCGATTTCAGGTTTATTGTGCAGATAATGGTTAGTATCAGCCCAAATGGAGTGAATTTTGGGACGTCCGTTTCCATTTTGTGGAACTCGGCTCCGATACATATTTGTTAATATAATCTTTCTCGAAGTGATATCATGCTCTCTATAGCAATGTTATTTGATATAAAAGTTAAAAATTTCTCCGTCAAATTTAGGGAAAATCGATTCATTGTTGGATATGCCTCCCGTATATTAATTCCCTCTGAAACCAAGTCATAACTGCTCTAAAGCCAAATGTTGATAGGTGGTATTATCTACTTTTGTTACGGATCATTCTATTCTTAAAGTACCGCTGTTTTCAGCACATTTTTGGTTGGCTCTTCTGACCTGAGTATGCCCAACTTATCAAACCTTGAAAGGGGGCTTAAAACGATTATCTATCTGAAATAATTACAATACGTAATAAATAATTTCGAAATTGTTCCAGTTCAAACAAAATTCAAATAACCGAAATGTGGAAATGAGACTAAATCTACACAACTACTTAGAAAAAGTGCATTGAAATATATGTATGTATGTATGTACAGTGCAGAAAAAAAGATCTAAAGACAAGCTCCCAACTCTACACATTTTTTTGCATCAAATTTAAGATTTACATTTGCATTTGAAATAAATTTACTAACATTATTCGGTTCTATTTGATCGACTGCTCTTTTTAAGTTTCACTTGTAAATTTAGGGTCACCAAGGGCTTTTTACCGTTAGCAGAGCTGGGTATAAAACAATTTGGGATTAAACGTGGATATGGTTAAGGAGAATTATAAATCAGTAAAAAATAAATAAAGTCAATATTAGCAAACTCAAGAGGTTGTAAATGAAATGAAGATCAGGTAATTGTTCAATATCGCCAAATCTCAACGCAACAGGAACATGTGTGTTTTAATTTCTCTTGAGATACACAACCCTGCAAACCCATTATTGCAAACAATGTGTATCGTCCTAAGTCAAGCAAAGCCAAGATCCTGCGGTAAATGGTCTCAAAGATTTAGATACAGTTCCAGTATACAGAATATGAAGATTTTTCTTTGACCATTGCAATGCTACATCTATGAAGAGTTGCCTAAATAGTTAAATCTAAAATCTAATTCGCGCCAACTACAGGTCCCACAGATCTCCATTAAAAATCTACCCTCCAACTTACTTCTGTTGTGTGATGGTAAACACCGACTTTGAAACAATCCGTTTTCCAGTATGCCAAATGCGACCAATGTATTTCATGCGTTGTATGGCAATAATGGCCAGGGCAACAGTCCTGAAAATAAAAACAAAGAAACATTTAGTTTCTTTCGTCTTAACTAATAATTCCATTTTCTTCGAGACTTACTTGAATAATTTCTTTTTAGGTTTCGCCTGCTGCAGCGCCTGACCACCATTAAAGGCTGCCAGTGCCTTCTGCTCACTGTCCTGATAGTTTTGCAGGGATATTTTCAAATAACGCTTCTGATAAACCAAGGCCTTGCGATGCGATTCGACACGTAAGTAGCGACCCAACAAATGATTGCAACGCTCCTCGAGTTCTGAAACATTGGCACTGCCACCCAATTGCAACTCCAGCTCTTCACATTTTCGTTGCAGCTGACGCCGTTCTTCGACCAGATATTGAACCGTTTCAGCCATTTGTTTATTCTCTTGGGTATTCTCGGCAAGCAGGGTGTTAATTTCTTTCATTTTTTGTAGGAATTGTTCGGGCACAGAGGTGGTTCCCTCTCGGGCTGCCAGTTGGGAATTTGCATTGGCCAAGGCCTCGGCTAATTTATTTTCGCGTTGGGCAGATCGTTCCAAGTCATAACGTAGTTGAATAATCGTTTTGTTAAGTGTCTCCTTTTCCATTTCCATCAGAGCAAGTTGACTCTTTAGTTCCTTCATTTCGGCCATGAGTTGTGCATTTTCTTTTTGTTGCTGCTTCTTGCGGGTAAAACGTCTGGTTTCGGCTGCTTGTAGACTACCAATACGTGCTTCGAGGCTTTCAATTTCCTGTGTCTGTAGGGTCAGCCTTTCCTGCAGGTGATCAATTTCCAGTTCTGCGTTTTCCTTGTCTCGGGCCATCTTATCCATTTCCCTTTTGAGTTTGTCGCAATATTCAATGCGTTCCGACAATTCCTTTTCGTAACGAGAGCGCTCACGTTCACAGTTTCTTTGCAAATCGGCCGATCTCTCACGTTCCCTCTCATTTTGGGCGGTAAGTAGTTTAATTTCACTCTTTAAACGTTCAGCCAATTCCGATTCGAAATCAGTTAAAGATCTTGGCGATTTGCGTGGCGATTCTGTGGGAGATTTTAGTAGAGAAGAATTTCGTCGGCTATCGGTTCTCTGTAGAGTGGTCAACTGGGTCTGAAGCAGTTCACAACGTTCCCGCTCAATATCCAAATGTTTGTGCAGTTCATCCTCTTGGGCCAATGCAGATTCCAAACGTTTACGCATGGCTTCAATGATGAGGACATCTTGCTCTTGCACTTCCTGGGAATGTTGTTTCTCATCCATGAGTTCTCGACGCAACTCTTCGGCATGATCTCTTTCTACGGCAATTTGTGCCCGCAACGCTTCCAACTGATTGAGCAGATCCCGTTCTCCGGTGAAATTTTCATCATCTGTGGTGCCAGGTGCCTCGATGACCACATTTTTGTCCACATGCGAACGATCCAGATTGTTTTCTTCTTCGCTTTCGATGGCTTTCAAAATATTCGAATCCAATTGGGCAGAATAGTTCAGCTCCTTCTCAACCTGTTGGGCAATTTCATCGACGGAGAATTGTCGAGAGCTATTATCACTGCTTTGCTGCTTCCACTTCTCCACTTCCCTTTCCAAGTTGACAATTTGCCTCTGAAGATCGGCAATTTTATCTTCGGCAATGGAAAGTTTGGTGGAGAGTGTGAGGAGGCGTTCGTCTTTGGCTTTTATTTCCAAATTGAAATTCTCAATTTCCTTCTTACGATTCTCATTATCCTTGGCAGTGTATTTACATTGCTCATGGGCTTCGCTTATGGCTCTCAGCTCTTTGCGTAGACTTTCCCTTTCTTCCACCTCTTTTTCGGTGTTTTTCAAAATTGTCTGTTCCAATTCGTGGACGCGACGCTTGAATACCTCTTCACTTTCTTGCAGATTTTTCATGTTTTTCTCATGTTTGCTCAGCAAATCGGAACGTTCCTTTTGCCATCTTTCTTGATCCCTTTGCAGCTGCTCAATTTCCAATGCTTTATTGGTGAGCTCCTGTTCCAATCGTTGGATTTTCTCTGAATTTTGTTTGAATTCTTCAAGTTGGCGTTGGCAGCTTTGCAGTTCATCCTGCAAGCCATTCAGGCGAAGTTGTGAGGAGACCAAGTCTTCCGAGTCCTTCTCTTTCTCTTTTTGTAGTTTTTCAATTTGTTGCTGCAATTCCACGATTTGTTTGCCCAAAGCTTCTATGGTGGCCTTATCTTCTTCCATAGCTTTTCGTTGTTCCTCCACTTGGCGTGGACTTTGATAGTTGCTGGGCGTCTTAAGTTTTGAATCTTCGGCGAATTCTGAGAAATTTATTTGTCTTGGCACTAATGTGGGTGTATTTGAGGCCGCCGATTGGGCAGAGCCCAACAAAATATTGGGATCTTGGAAGTAGTGAGGATGATCAAAGGTATTGACCTGATGTAGAGTGGCAAAACCGGTTAGGTCTTCAGTGCGTTTGTGGGTGAGATTGGCCACGGCACCCTTGGTGGTATCCATGGTGTGTTGCAAGAAGCCCCCGCTGCCCTCAGGCAAGAGCAGAGGAGAACTGGTATTGGCCCCTACTGCCCGTCTAACAACATCCGGTTCATCAAATTCTGATATGGATACAATGTCACTTAGGGTCCGTGCACTTAGTTTCGAACCACCAACCTCTTCCGGTTTCTTGCCCAGCAAACCCAGCGAGGAAGAAGCCTGTGTGGAGTCCAATACATTTTGCAGTTCCTTTTCTTTAGTTTCCAGCTGTTCCTTTAAGTGGTCGATTTCTTCATTCTTATCGGCCAACATGGTCTCCATAAGATCTGGCAATGCCAGTTTGTTAATCATTTCATTTTTTATTTTATCCTTAAGCTTTTGATTTTCCACCTGCTTCTGCTTGAGTTCATTTTCCAGCCGTTCTATGGCACTACGATCTGGTTGATGTTCCACCGCTAGTTCAGCTTCCAAGCGATCTATGACCATTTTACTCTTCTCCAATTGCTGCTTCATGGTGGCAATTTGTTTGTCACGATTCGAGAGAGTTTCCTGCACCGTTTGCAGTTCATTTTGCAGATCATGTATGCGAATATTTAGATCAGAGGTATTGGCCCTTTGTAGCTCTTCGGCCCGCTGTCGTTGTTCTTCGAGACGTGATTGCAAGGCTGAGATACGCTGTGTTTGCTCGGACATGCGCTCTTGCAGCGATTCCCGTTCAACCTGAAGTTCCTAAAGGAGGGAGAGAGAAAGAGGAGAAAGGAATATTATAGTAGGGGTTTGACATTTGGAACTCAATATTCAAGAAGCACTTATTAGGATTATTTTCAAGTAAATTTGAGTATTTTTTTCTAAAGCGAAAGAATTGAAATCGATCTAAGCTTTTGATAATGCTTTGAAGGTGGTGAGAATGGCGCACAACATGATTATATTTTTATAATTAACGCCGCGTAATTTTAAGATGTGGGATTTTGTTTAAAAAAATCTGAATCGGTTTTCCCTGATTTTGACGAAGACATTTTAATCTTTTATACCAAATTACATTGCTATAGAGTGTAGGATATCACTTCGAGAAGGATTATATTAAAAATATATACAGGGTGAGATAAAAACACTGCAACCAACTTCAGGCTGCTGTCATTTCTAAGACACTCGTCCGACAGCTGTTGAAATTACTCCAGTGACAGCTCATTATATTATTTACAAGCGTACAAAAGCATTTTGGTGAGTATTTTCCAGAAAAGAAGTTATTCGTGATGAAATTCAAGCATGATAGTGTGATTTCTTTATATTTGGCTGGAAAGCCACAAGTGACTATCGTTAGAGCATTCCAGCATTTAAATGTGAATAAATCTTTTGTGTCTCGTACCATCGCTCGTTACCGTGATACTGGTAGGGTAACCCGATGTCATAGAAGTGGACGGAAAAAACAGCTACATCAGCAGAAATGGTTCGAAAATTAAAAAAAGGGACTTGATCAAAACCCGCGTCGCAGTGGCCGAAAAATGGCCCGTCATCTGATCTTATCACAATATTCTATTCGACAAATATTGAAAAATGAGCTCGGGGTAAAGCCACTGAAATTCCAAAAAAGAAAGAACTTACACCGCAATAGAAAGAAAATTGACTCAAAAGAGGTAAAGAGTTGCTTCGCTTCGCCGAAAGTATACACAAAGGCAACTAAAATCTCCGGATACCAATCCGTTGGACTATTGTGTCTGGAGTATTTTGGAAAGCAAGGTTGGCACTAAAAAATACCAAAGTGTCGATCACCTCAAGCAAGCGCTTCGACGGGAATGGACCAAAATACCGCAGAGCAACATTCGGGCAGCGTGTGACGGTTTCATTGGCCGTTTGAAGGCTATAATTCGTGCCAAAGGTGACCAATTCGAACAAATGTAAACTTATTCTAAAATTTGATGCTATTTTATTTAATGATGGCGTTTGACTTTGTTGCATTTTTTTTATCTCATTCTGTATATGGGTGCTATATCCACATCTTAGCCGTTCTAGATAAAATTTAGCAGAGGTATTTCCGCGCTCTTTAAGATATCTGGTACCAAAAATCATTGTTGTCGAATGCATATTACGAATGTGAGGGTCTTAGACACTAAATCGGATGAAACATATACATGGTAGCTATAGCTATATCTGAACCGATTTTCCAAATTTGGTGTACCTTCTTCTAGACTGAATTCGGTCGGATGTACAAAAATTTAGACTTTTGGGTGAAAATGGCCATTTGGTGCACAATTAACCCGAAATCGGTTGAAGATATATGGGAACTATATGTAAATCTGTACCGATTATCACCAATTTCAATAGAGATCGTCCTTGGGCCAAACAAATATTGTTTAGCAAATTTCGTCTCAATCGGATAATAAATGTGACCAGCATTTTGTTCACAACTTAGAAAGTGATTTTATGAAGATCCTCAAAAGTAACTAGGGGTCTATCTCGCTTTCTTCTCCATGTTATAAACAAACGCACAAAGACATAATACCCTTACCACTATGTGGTGTAAGGTATAAAAAAACAACTGTTGGCAATTAAAACGGAAAAATGTTCAGGCTTGAACTTAACTCAGAAACTAATTACATAATTTTTCCTCTTTTAAATTCCACTTTAAAAAGCCAATTTTATTATCCCTTTAATTTTTGCAATCTATTTGCACCTTTAAAAATCCAACTCTGTATCATTCTTTTTGATTTATAATCTCCCCCGCATAACTAGCAACGTGTACAACAAAAGGCGTCTCTCTCATCTATAAGTATATACTCACGCGAACGCCACACACTTGCATTGATTGTCTGACGTTGGTAGGTGGCCCTGCTAAAAAAAAATAAGTTCTCCACTAAAATCCAATATAAACGCCATAGGGTTCGTGACATTTTAACGCACAAAATAGCTCGTAGACAGTATGGCAGGGCATCGCACAAAAAACAATGGTGGTGTACTCTACAATATTAGTACTTCGATATAAAACCCCTACTGAATTACCAGCAGCTGCCCGACTACCATCCATTTCCTTCCTTGCCCCCCTCTTCACACCTCTCTAGCCAGGGCTTTTAACAAAAATTGTCGTCATGATTATCATCATTGGATCTCTTTTTATCATTTCATTTTTGCCTTTGTCTTTGTCATCCAGCGATTTTTTGTTGGTCACACGAAACACCATCACCATGAGACACCACCGACTGATTGAATTGTTTTTTCATTGAAAGAGAGAGAGCTCAGCAGTAAGTAAAGCTGCGTTTCTATTTGTGCCGTAATTTTGCAGACCATATTTTGTTGCACCACCAACCACCACCACCATCGCAGTATTAAAACAAAATACAAGTGCAGAGATTGTTTTGTTTTTACACTGGCCACAAAGTAAATGATACTCCAGATGACTGGCAGACAAGTGGTGGTCTTCGAGGAAGGTTTAATAATTTATGGACATTTTTGACCTTGAACTATTCTCGTTTCCTTTCTCCATTTTTTATTGCATTATAATATGCAAGCTTTTAAGGTAGGTTTTAAACAAAATTTGTTTAATATTCAAAATAGCGCCCAATGTACATATGTGTCGCTCATTATACCCTATACCACATAGTGGTATAGTTACTTTTGAGGATCTTCATAGAATCACTTCCTGAGTTGATTTATGCATGTCAGTCCGTCTGTCCGTCCGCATTTAATATCCGATTGAGATGAAATTTTGCAAACAATATTTGTGTGGCCCAAGGACGAACCCTATTGAAAATGGTGAAAATCGGTTCAAATTTAGATATAGATCCCATATATATTTTCAAGCGAATTCGGTTTAATTGGGCACCAAATGGCCAATATCAGTCCAAATGACCTGAATTTTGGTACATCCCACCGAATTCAATCTAGAAGCAAGTACATCAAATTTGGAGAAAATCGGTTCAGTTTCCCATATATATATTGCATCCGATTTGGTGTTTATGTCTCTCACATTCGTTATATACATTCGACAAAAATGATATTTGGTACCGGACATCAGATACTGCTTGAAAATACCTCTGTCAAATTTTATTTAGATCGGTTGAGATTAGGATATAGCTCCCATATATAGCTTCGACCGATCTCGCGTTAATTGTGCACCAAATAGCCAATATCAGATCGAATGACCTGAATTTTGGCATATCCGAACGAATTCATTGTAGGAGGAAGCACATCAATTTTGGAGAAAATATTTTCAGATAAAGCTATAGCTCCCATATATAGGTTTCATCCGATTTGGTGTTTAAGGCCCCCTCATTCGTAATATGCGCCCCACAAGAATGACATTTGGTATCAGATATTAGATACAGCCTAAAAATGCCTCTGCTAAGTTGTATCAAGATCGGCTATGATTTAGTATTTAACTCTCATATGTATCTTCAACCAATTTCGGGTTAATTGGGCACCAAATGGCGAATATCTGTCAAAAAGTCCTAAAATTTTGGTACATCCCACCGAATTTGGTCTAGAAGAAAGTACATTAAATTTGGTGAAAATCTATTCGGATATAGCTATAGCTCCCACATATATGTTTAGTGTTTAAGTCCCTCATATTTGTAATATGCATTTGACAACAATGATATTTGGTACCAGATTTCTTATAAAGCTCGAAAAAACCTTTCCCAAATTTTATCGAGATCGGCTAAGGTTTGGATGTACATAGCTCTCATATATCATTAATCCGATTTCAGGTTTATTGTGCAAATAATGGCTAATAACAGCCCAAATGGCGTGAATTTCGGGACGTATGTTTTCATTTTGTGGAACTCGGCTCGGCTCCTTCTCGAAGTGATATCCTACATTCTATAGCAATGCTATTTGGTATAAAAGATTACATTTTTCCCCCCAAATTTAGTGAAAACTGATTCAGAATTGGATATGCCATATATTAGTTCCCTCTGAAACCAAACAATAACTGCTCTAAAGCCAAATGTTGAAATGTGGTATGATCTACTCCAAATAAATTATTTTTTTTTTTAACGGAGCTCTACTAAATATACATAGGGGTGTAGGGTATCACACCGACCGACTTATGACTTTTCCTTACTTGTTTTTACATAATCTGCAATTTTTTTCACACTGATTTATCAGTGCTGTAAAGATACACTTCAGTTGAATATCGTATGGTATATGTAGAACCAGTCGAAAGATGGCTGTGATTTCAGAGAAAATCAATATAATTCGACTTCGAGTGAATACCTTCGTTCCGTTTTCATTTCGATCGCCTTAGAAAAACTGGCGCTTAATGACAATTCGACTCAATTTATTTTAGATGCTTCATTAGTTATGGTTAAAATTATGACAGAATAAAATATCAATTTCTTAACAACCAAGTCTGAAGCTTGTATCGGAATGAGTAATTCGAAGTTTTGCCGGTAATCTGACCAATAAAGTCTTAGAGGTATAGTTTATAGCCAAGAGTTAGTTGAAAGTTTAGCAAAAAAGATAATAACACAAGAGACCTAAATCCTACCATCGACTGTTCACTCTAAGTGATATTTACAGAATCGGAAGAGGCGCCGCTAAAGTCGACAATCATACCTTTTGTTATGTTCGAACGTTTGAAAAATTCTCTGAACTCCAAGGCGACTAGCTCCAAAGTAATGTTATTAGATTCAAGCCATGACGACTTAACTCCCATAAAAGCCAAAATAAACCCTCCATAAAGCACAGTTGTAGAGCTGTCTCCTGGGATAAAATATGGTAAAGGGATAAAATAT